AATGTAATTACACGAACAATAATACTTTATTGTTTTACGGTTTTATACCAAATATAAGCTCCTGTCATGCTTCAAATACCATGAATGGGGTACTGTTGAATTCAGAATTTCACGAGGGGGGATTAGCGAATCGTATTCTCCACTTTGGTTTTTCTTTCTAAAATAAATAAAGTCAATACAAACATTTTGCTAGGCTTCGATACTGGAACGGTGGTAGGTCTGTAGATCGATGCGGAAAAATTGGACCTTGAAGATTTTGATGCGTACAGCAATGATCCTGCGTTTTTAAGCCCAAAACGTACTATTTTCGAGATAACGCCAGGCATAGGGTTCGCATCCACACAACCTTACGTTAATTGTAGTACTGTCATTGAATACATGTCTCATTTCGTCGACTTGAGGTCTCTATGATCGAGAGAGGAGGAGTTTATATTATTTATCGATGGTGTTTTTGATCGGCAAGCCATATCATCGTTAACTCTTCACCAAATCTCAAGATTAAGCCAAAAATTTCGAAGGCTTCCTTCTCCTTCAGGCGGGCAAAATAGTCCAATCATCCCAAAAATTCAGGCAAACAAGTTATGAAAGAAAACAAACTTTTTTTGCGAATAAAAAACTAAAAAAACACACACATATTATATAAAAGATTACTGAATTCCCTACAAAAGAAAAAAAAAATCATCGAAATCGGACAATGTTCAGCAAAGATACAGCTTATTGAAATTTGTAAACATGTTGGTTCCAAACAAAAATGAAGATTTAAATTAATTTTTGTTTCCTTTGTCGATTATATTTATCAATAAAGTAGCAATTGATTTCTTTATCGTTTGATACGTTGCATTATTTTATTTTCTTATTAATTTGCCATTTGATAACAATATGCTGTTCGAATTTTTCGCACTGGCCTACTAATAAAAATTATTGCATCTGATGTCCTACAGTTGTTATTCATAACTAATTTAGCCTCTTAGGGTAGATAAAATCTGTACCATTACCTTACAACGGGAAGTACTATTTCAAACCAACTGCTGTGCAGGGAGGTGATTGCACCGAGATCACGCTCAACAGGTTTTCTCCATTAATTAATAATTTTCTGATTACACAATTATTTACTTTTCTCATGAAGAAGGAATGGCCGAACACGTAGTGGGTAAGTGCTAGAGTGTCTGGTTCTGAAAGTTGAATCTTGACATTTTCAATCTATTAAGTAGAGTGGCAACCTCAAGGTAACCCTCAAGGGTTGGCAAATATTTGACTATTGGCTGATTTGCCGGACTGGTGCCCCAAATCCTATTTTATAGAGATTGGTTGAGGCCCTGAGCAGAGACACCTGATCTCAGCGTCGATCTTGAGCATAGTAGAACAGTGATTTACTCATTGTGGTACTCCTCTACCCGAACTGTAGATCGTTCGTTAATCTCAACAACCTATTAGTTGGCGACTACTAAGTACTTGGATATTTTAACTATTATTTCTTCATATTTGTAATAGTACGCGATATTTTATAGTACAATATATTTTATCAAAGTATTAACATCCGTCTAAATTTTCGAGAAAGTTTATATCTTATCGTAACCTAAAACATTTTTATTTACGAAAATTCGGGAAAATGGAGCATTTTCATTCTGTTTATCGGAAAAATTTGTCTGTTTATTCAGGTACTAAGAACTGATGTGCATCTATTTACTTTCCAGTTAAATCGTAAGATAATTTGATCACAAAATCGAGCAAAAGGGTGACCTACAAAAATATTAGGCCGTTCGACGTGGCCTCCACCTCCAATCTGTCTAAATAATTTCGTATACTAACTTTTTTTTACTTTCACTTACGAATATATGTAATATATAGTAGAGTAAGTATTGCGATCAAAAAAATGTTTGAATCTGAGTTTTCAACGGAAATACACGTTTTGGGGTACCCTGAGTCCAAATAACCAAGTCCCGAAAAATGGTCTGTGTGTTGTATGTGAAGCAGTCTAGCTCAAAAACGAAAAGTCCTACGAAACTGATATTACGTATTTAAGATAGGTATATGCCTTAGATGTGACAGCAACTTTTTCCTTAAAATCAGCTAACCGGAAGTGCCACTTTATATCAACGCTGAAACACATTTTCACAATTTTCTCAAAAACGGCTCTAACGATTTTGATGAAACTCGGTGTATCATTGTATAATTAAGTGGTCCTTAATATCAATTAGGTCTTATCCCCATTGTTGTCACTTTACAGACCTTAAATGCCCAATGCACATATACGTCTTCCTCAAAAGTACCTTTGATATGGTTTATTTTAAAAAGTTAATCATTTCACATAATTCAGAGAGACGAAAAAATGCTAAATAAATATAACTTTTGAAAGAATTTGATAAATTAATAAAGGAGAAAATTATAAAAATGCTTACCCAGATCGAAAATGAAAAACCTGCGTTGCTATAGACTGTAGCGCCTAAACGAATGTACCGATTTCAATGAAACTTCTCTAAAGTCATTTTCTCGACCCCCTTAAATTTATCTGTATAACATACTTCAACGAAAAGAAGCTGGATAAAAAGTTACGAGGGATGGTAAATTCCGAATAACACAAAAAGTATACCTTTTTTTGTGGATGTTGTGATAAGATGTTTCAAAGTTAATTAAATTTCCTAAAAAATGAAAGAATTTTCTAGAATATGAATATGAAAGAAGAAGAAGATCTAGAAAATTCCGATTTTGTGATCAAATTATATTACGATCCAAGTGGAAAAGAAGTCCACCTTGTACGAAGGCCACGAGGTATTTACGAGATTTTAGTACCTAATTAATTAAATAGGCAAAGTGTGTCGATCTCCAGAATAAAAACGCCCCCATTCCGAGAATTTTCGTAAATAAAATACTTGTAGGTTACGACACTAGCGGATCCAGGATATAATTTTGGGGGGGGGGCTTCAGCCCGAAAGGTGTTTTTTTTCATAAAAATAACGATAATTACTTTGGAAAAGAAGAAAGAAACTAACTACCTGTATGAAATGGTGTTTAAGTGATTCCTAAAGCCCCTTTAAATGTAATCACACAAACAATAATACTTTAAGAGATACTTTTTAAATATTTTTTCGATAAAATATTTTCCCATTTTGGGGGGGGGGCTTCAGCCCGAAAGCCCCCCCCCCTGTAGATCCGCCCGTGGGTTACGATGAGATGAAGTCAGTCAGGACGTTTTTGGCGGATGTTAATATTTCATAATCCTCTAAAGATATGTCCACAAACGCTTTGTTTAGGAGACATTCACACCTAAAGATTTTCATTGTTATGAATTATTTACATTATACGAAATAAATAAAACCTATTTATTTGTTCTAACTACTTCATTAATTAAGTATAAACATTAACATTCATATTAAATGTTGTTAAAAGTGATTTCTTTGAGCATTAAGACAGGCTCGGCATCTTTCTTCAACAGCAGCAGTGGCAGAACGGCACTATTAGTGTAAATGGAAGGCATAATGATGAGTACTCTGCGAAAACCTCTTACAAACTGATAAATGTTATTGAGAGTTCCCAATGCTAATTCCAAATAGTATTAATCCTTATGTTGCCAATAGTTTTTATACAGTTAGGGATAAAAGGCCATATTAGTATTCTATCTAATCCATCTCCTAAACAAAGCGTTTGCGGACATACCTTCACTTTGAACAATATTTAATATGAATGTTAATGTTTACATTTAATTAATAAAGTAGTCAGAACAAATAAATAGGTTTTATTTATTTCATATAACGTAAATAATTCATAACAACGAAAATCTAAACAAAGCGTTTACGAACAAATCTTAAGAGTAAATTTTTTTCTTGTTTTGAGGTCTTTAGATCATTTTTGCAGTTTGACCACTTAAAACACCCTGTATATGCGCTATTATTTAATAAGAGTAAATATAGTGAATTTTTAAGCATTTACCTCAAATCGCTCACAGAAAGACTTGAAGAGTTACTGCCCAGTGGTAGCACTCCCTATTTAATTCTAGGTGAGAAGATCACGAGGCCATCTTCTTTTCAGACGCCTAGGAGGATTATCAGGAATCGAGGAAGAAGCAAGGCTGGAAACAAGTGGATTCGGATGGGACTGGAGTTTATCATGAAAGGATAGGTATCTGGCTCGGGCTAAATCAGCGGCATATGGAACATTAAGGTCTTTATGAATGGTTTTATTTGTGACAAAACATGGGAAGGCATTAAGGATTTTACGAAGGATTTTGGATTGTAAGGATTGGATACGATAGGAATTCGATGGTTTGGTAGAGCCCCAAAGTTCAACTCCGTTGGTCCATATAGGTCTTATTATGGTTAAGTAGATGAGTCTTTTGTAATTAATTGAAAGTTTAGAGCGTTTGCCTAGTAAGTGTTGGAGCAGTGGTAAACGTCAAGCTGTTTCTGGTCATTTCAGTCTAGTATGCGGATTCCAAGTGAGACGTTAATCCAGTGGAGTCCTTGGTAGCAGATTTGTTCAACAATAACACATGGAATATCATTGAAGGATATTGTAGGACAAGAAGTCATAGGTTTACAACGAAGGGTAAAGGTAATTTGATGGGATTTATTGGAATTTATTTTTATTCTCCACTTATGACACCATTCTTCAAGGTTTGTGAAATGTGATTGGAGGGTTTAGGATGCAATTAAAAGGTCATTATTAACAGATGGGATACAAGTGTCATCTGCATAGGTGGTGATGATCATGTTGGGATGTTAGCTGTATAAATTATAGGACCGAGGATGCTCCCTTGAGAGACACCAGAGAAATTAATATTTACCAATGAAATAAAAAAGTATTTTTCTGTTTTGGAGGGCTTCTGTCTGAAAGTTTGACTATACCATTGCTTCCAGAATAAATAGTAAAAACATAATAATTACACACAATGCCTTACTCTAAAATGTTTCTACTAAACCAGTATTGTATGCTAGTACTATATTACATATATTATTATTTACTAATAATCTTATAATAAACTATAAAAATTTAATTTGTTGCAGGGAGTGCGGTGATATGGGAGGTAGCCCTTTAGGGCAATGGCCTCATGGGCTGAGTTCGATGATGGCCTCCCTTGCCTGCACCCTCGGCATCTTCAACATATCCAGGTTTGCTGTCCTCAGTGTACAGTTTGGAGGTGAGTTGGTAGGCTTCCTAAGAAAAAAATAAAGAATTCTATTAATAAAAAAATAAATATTATATTAGCTCCATAATATGTCTAATTTGAAATAAAACTGTATTTTTTCTAGGTAAACATTTACCAAAGTATTACAATTTATGTAACAGCAAAATTATTCAGTATTGGTGGGTTTTTTTTTAAGTTATTTATTATGATGTACAGTCAGGATTTTCAATCAAAAATGCTTTTATCTTAATTGCCGATGTTTCAACCCAAGCATGCCGACCATCATTGTGGTCAGAAATATAACATAGAAACATAAATATACATATACATTTCTAGTCATCATCAAATGATAGTACTATTCTATACTGTGAACTTCACTAGGGATATTACAATATCTTCCAGCTCTTAATGCCACTGACCGCATCTATTGTTTGTTTTTGTTTTTTTTATTATTATTTTTTATTGGTATATAATTAAATCTGTACCTATAGCTAGCATTTGACAATGATGAGTCTACATATTAATCATTATTTAAAGACACTGATATTTTATATTGTCAGCTTTGTCTTTTCTTAGCAGAAACACACCTCATTTTAAAGAAGAACTCACTGTATTTTTTATTATTTTATTTTTCAAAAGAGTATAATTATAATTTTTCCTACTGTACATAGTCTTAAATGTTTTATCATAGTTTTAAGTGTTTTGTATATAGAGTTGTTTTTTTTTTCGTATATAGCTTGTTTAACTAATATTTTCTTTACTTTCTCTTTTTTATTATTGTTTTATTTTGGCCAGATGTAGTATTTTAATTATGTTCTATTTTGTTATTCTAAACGGACTTTGTCCCAGAATATTATAAGTTATTTTCTATTATTATTATTAAATAATTAATGAAACTGTGTTGTGAAAATCATGATTGGGGGGTTTCTTGGAAGTGTGTGATATTGATAATGTGTTCAAATAATCCTTAGTGTCGAGTTCTAATAAAATGAGAACTATCTGAAACCTTCAAAGTTCGAACTAGCTTGTGGCAGGAAGATGGACTTTCAACAATGGTGTTTAATATAGTGAGGAATGCACGTTACAATGAATCATAAAATCCTTGGATATGCAGATGATATAGTTGTCCTTAAAAGCAATCAAGAAGATATTGAGAGACTCGCTAAGACTCAGGCCAAAGAAGTAGAACAAATCAGCCTACAAGCATATTATTTTGACATTCAGTATATGACAGCCGATAATTCCACCTTAACAATAGAATCTGTGTAGGAGGGAAATCGTTCCTGAGAGTATACAAATTCAAATACCTTGGTTTCACTATAACCTCATGAATAACCAACATCAAACAGATCTTTCTTCTATCTTTCAAAAGTTTTGGAATCCCGAAACATCTCAATTAACCTGAGAGTATGGGTATGCAATCTTATGATAAAATCAGTTTTGATTTGCGGCTGCGAAACCTGGACACTGACTAGCACCCAAGAAAGTAATAATAAAAGATTTGAGAGGAAAATAGTGTGTGTGATAACCAGAGCGATCTGGTACAGAGTTTTTATGCCTGGAGGAGGAGGCCCAATAAAGAACTGCTTATAGTAATGGTCAACATAATGTGATATGTAGGCAAGGAGATGAAGATGGGCGGGACATTTGGCTCACAGCAATCCATCAGCAAGGCTCTACACAATATTGAATGCCTCAATAGTAGGCAAGAGATCACGAGGAAGTCCAAAAAGCAGATGAATAAATCAAATCAACAATAATTGGTAAATGGTTGACTGTCGTGAATAATGAAGAGAAGAATAGTTGGGATGATCAGTCAAATAAGAAGGCAAAAATAAATGATAATATTTATTTTGACATTAGCCGACGTTTCGACCTGAAGGTCAGGCCATTATAAGGGCTAAGAAAATAACAAGATAACAAGGTATGAGAAACATAAGTAGTGTAGGTAAAAAAATTAAAGTAAAATATAGTTGTTAGAATAATGACAATAGTAAGAACTAAGAGATAAAAGATAATAAGCGGTACCGCTTGTTATCTGGTTCTTTTCTTAGCCCTGATGATGGCCTGAACTTCAGGTCGAAACGTCGGCTAATGTTAAAATAAATATTATCATTTATTTTTGCCTTCTTATTTGAGTGATCACCCCAACTATTCTTCTCTTCAAATCAACAATAGTTTTAAGCAGTAAAAGATCGACATATAAAAACTGGTGAATTGATTTTTTGTTTCATATTTGAAGCAAAGAATTTGATGAAACAACTGGGTTACCTTTATATTTATAATATTTGTTTTAAAAAAGAGTAAAACTTTTTAAACAAATAGGTTAATCTTTCTTTATTTTTTAGTATTAACTTTTAAGGATAATAAGTACAAGATAAAAACAAAATTATAATACTTGGCTTTTAATAAAATAGTTTTGCCACTATTTAGCCTATTTATGACCGCCACCCAGGACCATCTCCTTCCTTTGTAATGCAACGGTCAACTATTAAATATTCAAAATTAAAATACTTTATTCAATTCTTGCCAAACTATTATAGGTTTTTGATTTGTCAGTCTTCTTTAAATTTTGTTATTTTATTGTTGTTAGTTATTTTTAAAAATCTATTTCAATTATAGGAGTGTATTTATATTTATTTAATTTTGTTCTTATTATTTTTTTTCAGCAAACTTTATAGTGCAGTTTTTAGTGATGTCCCTTCTCCTGGGTATTCCACTGTTCACCTTTCACGTATCATTAGGTCAGCTCTTGGGATCCGGTGCCATGGATATGTGGAGGATATCTCCAATTTTTCAGGTAATTAATTGATTAATTAAATAATTGATAATATATTTCATAACAGTTCATGAATTTTGAGGATAAATTAATTTAGATTCTATTTTGAAAAAGGGATATTAGTTTTATACTTATTTAAAGAAGAATGCAAATTTTAAATCTTCACGTTCTCATTTTATGGAAGAATAAATCTGTATATTTTGAATACAATGGTACCAATAATGCAATTTAAAAAAAGCAACTTCTATCGAAGAAGAAAAGTTTATTTTATTCTGAGACATTCAGCCCCCGAAGAATAATTATAATGAACAATTTAGTGACATTTATAAGATAAATAATTATTTAAACATTAATAAAGACTTCAAAAAATCATGAACATATTTTATTTTATACTGAGTTCTTCAATATCTTCTTCTTTATCAAATATGTCTGAATAAAAATTGCTATAACTTCTGAATTACAAAAATTGTTGGTACAATCGAAGCTTTCTTGATTTATGTATTACCATTTAATTGACATCATTAAGAATTTCATGAGAATAATGTTTTTTTTTTTCTGAAATAATTACTTTTACTTTCACTTTGATTAGTCCCTGATTTTTTCCAATAGCCGACAATATATTCTAGTAAGTTAAAAATTGCATGTATTTTAAATTGAATTATTATAATAGTTTTAATAATATCTGTTCAAATATAATTGCAATACCGTTGACAATAATTATTATTAAAAATTCTTATTTAATTTATTTGAATCAGAAGAATTTATTTTATTATTGAAATTTTTTATAGTTGAAGAAAGTCTGCAAATAAACCTATACATCAATAAAATCATTAGTTAATTTTTTAGGTTAGAAATAATTTTTAGAATCTACCATATCTCTTTAACATTATTATTATAATAGTATAAAATAATGCAACTGCTCTTATCTTACCTCAAAATAAGATTCTCTGAATACTGTTGATGATAATTATTATTAAAAATTCTTATTTAATTTATTTGAATCAGAAGAATTTATTTTATTATTGAAATTTTTTATAGTTGAAGAAAGTCTGCAAATAAACCTATACATGAATAAACCTTAAGATTGAAGCTATATCTATGAAATTGATTTCTTTCTTTTTTTTTAATTATATGTTATATGAATTCTCTCAAATTAATTTTTTATTTATTAAATTTTTCAGGGAATTGGTATAGCTTTAATTTTGTCCCAAGCTCTTCTTGGGATTTATAGCATTGTTGGAGTTTCTTGGATGTATGTTTACTTTAGAGATTCATTCATTACCAAACAAGATACCTACAGATGGTCAGAACCTTACGACATAATATTAGGTAAGATATTTTATTGTATATATTAATGCTTATTTACCAAGTAAGAAAAATTAAAATTAAATTTATTCATCAAAATTTAGTTGTACTTTTATTATTAAAACTAAATTTAGTTAATTTTTTTCTTAAATTATAGCATTAATGAATCATTAGTTAATTTTTTAGATTAGAAATAATTTTTAGAATCTATTCTATCTCTTTAACATTATTATTATTATCTTTATATATATATAAATGAATGTATGTCTGTGTGTCCATCCGTTTGTCCTTTGTGCATTACTATACCAATCAACCGATCTCCATGAAACTTTGGGAAGTTGTTCCGTACACTCCTGGGAAGGTTTCTGGCATAGTACTTCTGTCTTTCAATAATTTTATATATGTAAAAAAAATAAAAATGTAAATGTTTTTCTGTTCAAAGCCACAAAAAAATGTGTCGCTATAAACTGTAGCGCTAAAACTGCTTTACCGATTTTAACGAAACTTGGCTAAAGTCTTCTCCTTGAAACCCTTTTAATTTATGTGTATAACATACTTTCTCGAAAACAAGTTGAAATATGTTACGATGAATTCAATATTTTATTTGACGATAACTAAAAAAGTACACAATTTTTGGCTGATAATTCCCACATTTATTTTAAAGATTTCTGAATCGCTAACAAAATAAAAAAATCATCGAAATCGGACGGTTCGTTGCAGAGTTATTGAATTTTAAACATTTACTGCTTTCTCTTCAGAAAAGGCCGTTTCTTTTTGCTTCCTCACTACCGAACGTCGGCAAGCATTTTTTTTTTTTTATTGATTAATCAAAAGTTTTATAATTACTACAGTAATTGAAATTATCATTTGAAGAATTTATATGATTCTCCTTATGTAGATCAATACTATTATACGTTTATTTTATTAATTGTTTAATTTAGTTTTATGAGTTCAGCTCAGACTGTTTCTGATGATTATGAATGATGTCGTATTTACTCAGATGATTATGAATGTTCAATTTGAATCATGAAAAAAAAAAGCTATTAGAATTAGTTTACATTGAAGCCATGTTACAGACAAATTTTTTTCCCAACGTTTTAGTATCCTTTGCTACTAATCTACTCATATGTGCTTTCTATTTTCTTTCTTTTTCATTTTGCCACGCTAAGCCACAGCAGCGCGTGGCCGGGTAAAGCTAGTAATAGTATAAAATAATGCAACTGCTCTTATCTTACCTCGAAATAAGATTCTCTGAATATATACTTGTATGTAAAGGATATAAATTTTTAAAAAAATATATAATCTATCGATATTTGTAAAATATATTGAATGTAATTCAAATATATATTTCAATATATCAGGCCTTGTTATTTTTATTCTTTGAAAGCAGTTGGGATTTTAACATCAATACACAAAATATAATTAGTTATCAAGAATATTAATAAAACATTGATATTTTGTCCCTCAATGTTTTTAATCTTTGAAAGAAAGGGAACAAGGGAACAAATTATCATTTATCAGTAAGGAAAACAAAAAAATCTACGTAACTACAAATATTTATAAGAACAAGAAATTGAAAAGAATAACTAATTAGCATAAATATAAAGAAATAGAAATAAATTAATATTAAGTAAATTATCTTGCAAAGGTCCTTAGTTCATTTTTGCACTTTGGCCACTTAACCGTGAATCATCCCGTCTTACAATATATTAGGGATTGGGGTAGTTCAGTGATAAGAATGACTTCCAAGCACAAGGTCAGATAATTTTTCAACTGTGGATCGACCCAAGAATCATGAGTCCCTCCTAGGACATACCCAGCCTCTATAAAGTCAATAATCTTAACTAAACAAATTAATGAAGTGGGAAAACCTGACGGTTGAGCATAATCCTGGCCTAATCATCCCCCTGCACAATCATTGGCCTCAAAACGATACTTCCTTACAAAGTATACTGAGCCCAAGACTCTTTATGAGTTGTAGTGATACAGGTTATAGAATAATATCCATTTGACTAATTTATTATATTTTCTTTCATTTATATAAAATTAATACAACACATTTTTTTTAAAATATTGTAGGTCAGAACTGGAAAACAAATACTACCATTAAACTTGAGGAAACTGTTTCAAATTATTTTAGTGCTGTAGTTTTGCAAAGGAGTAACCTAGAAACACCAGCTAATGCGCCTGGACATCTCAAATTTCAAGTTACATTTAATCTTGCAGTTGTGTGGATGATAGTGTTCATTTCTCTGAGTAAAGGTATATTTAAAAAATATTTTTATATCTATATGATTTATTTAATTCATAATGTTTCATTGAATATATTTTTCAAATTTCAATTTCAGGTTTGAAATCCTACGGTAAAGTAGTATTTCTTTTCTCACTTGCTCCAACTTTTGGAATGCTAGTTTTATGTACAAAACTCTTAGGATTAGCTCCGCAAGGATCAAAGATTCAACTCGGATTTCCACAATCTGAATGGGGAGAATTTTTTTCTAATACTAAGGTATGATAAAACTCTCATTATTTTTCATTTTTACATGTTTTTAAGTCTTCATTATTTATGTTTTATTTTCATTATCACTTTTAATTTACTCATGCAATAGACTCCTGCTTAACTAGCAGTAGTGGCAGAAAAAAAAAATGTTAACATTCTTAAATGCATTTATAACTTTGTGAGATTCTCAACCACTAGTTATAAATTTAATTTTTGTTGTGTTGTGGTTCGATAGATTATAAATAGATTGAAATATAGACAAAAAGAGTTTTCCTTATTATTTTTTTACAATTGAGGGAACCTCAATAAAACAAATCTATTCAAAAGAAAATTGATTCTTGAAACAAAATCCGTATCCTTCATTTATTTCATAGAAAAATAAAAAATAAATACTGCATAATTTGAAGAAATAATGTGATGCAGTACTGCTGAGAAGACATTAAGTTCGGTAAAACAAAATAAATAAATAAAAAATAACTGATTTTGTGAAAAACTAACAAGATCGTTTGTAGAAATTTTTGTAAATCGTTAAATTTAATTGGACAAAAAATGTTATCTTCTTGAATTAATATGTATATAACCTTTATTGATTCAGTTGTGTGTTGTGTTTTAATTTCTCCGTAATATAGAAGTTAAAATAATATTGGAGTTTTTTTATTTTATTATTATACCTTCTGTATTAACTGGTTCTTCTGCTCAACCAGCAATGTTTCCTTCCCAATGAGGAAGGATAAGCAGGAGTCTACTGTATGACATCTAACATAACCATTCCCTACATAAAATAAATGTTGCTCAAAAATTACCTCAAACAAATCAACTGCTGCAGTATGTCCAGAAGCAGCCATTTGGCTTAAATCATTTTTCAGATTTAATGAATTTTACTAAATATTCTATAAAAATATAATTAAGATAACATTACATTTGGTGTGTGTTGTTTTAAAAATTAAAGTTAGAAAACTCAAATTGGATCACCAATTATAATTGTTTGCTACATAATGTAATATATATAATTGTATACTTTGTGTATAAACATGTGCTGTTTATATTATGCTCTGCAGAGTTGGTCGGCTGCTATGTGCGAAGCATTCTACACCTGGGGACTCCTTGGCGCTTCTGCAATGCAGATGGCATCGCATAATAGAGCAAAGCACCATCTTCATAGAGATACCAGTTTCGTCACAGTCATCACTTTACTAGTTCTCGTTCTTGCAGCATTCCTCGCCAATACCTGCTCTCAGCTTCTCCATTACCATGGCTACACTTACATACCCAGTTCGTTTGGTAAGCATGTTATTAATCAACTTTTTAATTAAATTTAAATTGTGGCATTTAAAATGATTTAGTCTTAATATAGTCATCATGTGGTTGATGTAGTCTCCTCTGCATTGGAGCGTGGTATGTACTGCACGGGAGTCTTTCTGGGGACGTTTAACAGGCGTTTGATTAAGTCTAGTACCCGGGACTTCTGTATAAACTCCGCAAAATCCTACTCCCTACACACTTCCTTCTTATTCGTTCCTATCTTACTGATAGATACTCCAAAGTAAATCAAAATAATGTCTGCTCATCACTCTTTGCTCAATCTGCAGCCGTTCCACAAGGTAGTATCCTCTGTCCCATCCTCTACACAGTTAATACAGCTGACATCCCAACCCATCCTGACACTGTCATCACCACTTACGCCGATGACACATGTTTGCTATCTGTTAATAATGACCCTTTAATTGCATCCCAAACTCTTCCACATATCACAAGCCTTGAAGAATGGTGTAGAGAATAATTTTATAGAGAATAAAAATAATTCCAATAAATCCCATCAAACCACCTTTATCCTATGCTGTAAACTTGTAACTTCTTGTCCTACAGTATCCTTCAATAATACTCCACTTGGATAAACGTCTTACTTGGAATCCTCATACTAGACTGAAACGACAAGAAACTGCTTGACGTTTCCGACTGCTCCAACACTAACTAGACAAACCCTCTAAACTTTCAATTAATTACAAAATACTTATCTACATACCTATAATAAGACCTATATGGACATACGGAGTTGAGTTTGGGAACTCCACCAAATCATCGAATTCCTATGGTATCCAATCCTTACAATCCAAAATCCTCCGTAAAATCCTTAACGCTCCATACTTTGTCACAAATAAAACCATTCATAAAGACCTTAATGTACCATATGTCGCTGATTTAGCCCGAGCCAGATACCTATCCTTTCATGATGAACTCCAGTCCCATCCAAATCCACTTGTTTCCACTCTTGCTTCTTCCTCGATTCCTGATAATCCTCCTAGGCGTCTGAAAAGGAGATAGCCTCGTGATCTTCTTAGCTAGAATTATTTAGGGAGTGCTACCACTTGGTAGTATCTCTTCAAGCCTGTTCATGTCATTATTTATAATTTGTGAATATTTACTAGTTGTAATTGTTTACAGTTGTAAATTTCATTAAATAACCAAAAAAAAAAAAGCCTTGAAATAATACAACGTGATTCTGATTATTTAGACTTAAATAATTATAAAAAATAATAATTATAAATATAAATATTATAATAAATATAAAATTATAAAAAGTTAATTAAATGAGTCTTTGATTTCAAATTTATTGAACGTTTCGAGGAAAACTTCCTGCCCTAATACAATAAATATATATTTTTTAGGTTCAGTCATGAATCCAGTCATTAGCACCTAAAAATACATACTGTTTAAAACCAATATCTTACAAATAAATCAAAAACTTAACCCCCTCTCAAAATTTGAGGTTTCAGATTTCAGGATACAATTTTTTTTGTCCTTCCGCCGTCCGTGCATTTTCTCCGAAACTACTGGACCAATTTTTTTCAAATTTGGATATAAAATCAGAGGTCACTCGAGGATGATCCTCCTTCATCGACATTATTATCCGCCTTTTACTTTCAAAATGGCAGCCGAAAAACCTGCGTTGCTATAGACTGTAGCGCCTAAACGAATGCAGCGATTTCAATGAAACTTCGCTAAAGTCATTTTCTCTACACCCTTTAAATTTATCTATATAACATACTTCAACGAAAAGAAGCTGGAAAAAAAATTAAGAGGGATGGTAAAATTTAATTCCGAATAACTCAAAAATTATAAAAGTATATTTTTTTTAAAGTTTACAAAATTTCCTAAAAAAAAAAAAATTGTTAAAATCAGACAATTAGGAGCAAAGATATGGTCTCCGGTTTTTTTTTTATATGTTCTACTCCAAATGTTATATCCTTTGTTTGGTTTTTAAATTTTGAATGTGTTACTGAAGTAATGCTATTTTTATTTAGCATATTACTAATGATAAAAAAAAAAAGTTTAGTCCAATAATTGAAATCACCTTTTATTTATTTTTCTTTATGACTAGAAGGTAATGTTACTTTAGATGTATAATTGTTTGGAAATAATAAACCATTGTGGAATAATTTGCAGCGTTTTTTATTATTAAATTGTTCTGAACCATCTCCATTGTTTTGTTTTCTGTTTTTGGAGTTCATTGTAAGATTACGATTATTATTATCAGAGTTAGATAATTTGAGAATAAACAGGATTTTTTTTTTTATTTGAAGTACATGAATCTATAAGTTTTGTCACTTTTATTAGAAATATTACTAACAAAATGTGACTCTGTGTGATGAAAAATAACTGATAGTGTTTCTTATGTTTTTTTTTTTCAGAAAAAATGTCGAGCTACGGATTCCTCCATCATGTGAAAGGTCCTCCGTTGCTGGCCTCTATGGCCAGTACTCCTCCAAGATTCTATCAACGCTCTCTATTTCAAGTTGGAGAGAGGGTGATCAGGCCGGCGGTGAACACAAGGCAGCAGAGCGGGTATCAGGCTCTCAGGTTGGCCACGGAACTTGTACCTGCAACCTTAGCCGTTCTTGGGCCTGGTAAACTGTCACCGTTTTGGTCTGTCCTCTTCTATTTTGTGTTGATACTCTTTGGAATTGCTCAGCAGGTATTATTTGTTAATATTTTTAAATGAATAAGTCATTACAAAAGTCTTTGTGTATATAAAATCTATAAATTAAAATTATTCTTTAAAATATAGATCATCATTGCCAAATACTTTAGTACATCATTTTGCCAGAAGTTTAATTCAGTCATGATACTGGGGTCATTCTTATATTATTTGACCATTTAGCATTTCTGAATCTATAGATTCTGGTTAAAAAAAATATCAAGTTTCTGAAAAAAAATTTATCTCAAATATTAGTATATATGTCCTAGATAACGAACCTGAGCTGCGATAGTCAGTTTTCTTAATATTAGTTTTCTTTTTTTAATTTTTTTTTTAAACCATAACTTAATTAGTATGGTCTTAAAGCTTATTAAACAAGGATGTTTTTCTTCAAACAGTTTAAATAAACAAAATTTATTAGTATATTGGAAAAATATAATGGCTAACAACTAAAATCCTCCCCCTGTTCTTTAAATGTTTATAATAAAAATAATGATATGATCAATTGGTAGTAGAAACAATAAAAATAAGTAATTTTAAATTTATAGTTTTAATTCAATTTAGGTTTTATTCTCATTGATGTTCTCTAATAGGTCTTAGATGGCTAATTTTTAATATTTCTTCCTTTATAGGTATCTTTAATTTTTTTTATTTGAAGTAATTAACCATTTCACAACTAACCCTGATGTAAAAAATAGTTAAATATAAAATATGAAAGAATTTTATAATTAACTAAAGGAGAAATAAGAGATTGTATCGAAGAATAGTTGTAATAGAGGGAGCAAACAAATATGATCATGCTCGAGTTCACCTGAGCTATAATATATAATATGGGCTGTGAGAATATTATATACATAGTATAATAATAATAGAATAATAGTAACATTTGTTCTGTTTTCATACAAAATCGCTGTTGCAGATTTAACCTAATGTTGGACAGATATGAAACCTTAACTCTAAATAAGTGCCTCAAAACTACTTATTTTGCAATTATCATCCATTATGTTAATTAAACAATGTTAAGTAAAATAATGGTAACATTCATTACGCGTCATTTTTGTGACATATCAAATTTTGGAAGAAAAAATTTATAGTCTCCAGCCAGCTCTTTTATGCCTCAATCTTACACATGGACTGACAGCTGGGACCACAGACAGATGGTTTTAAACCCTTTTCAGGCATGTTAAATGACCAGTGTTATAAGAAAAGCCAGTAACATTTGTTACAATGTTTTTCTCCAAATTTTGGGGTCAAACCAATTTTTCTACTTTACAAAATATTTGAGACAACTATAAAAGGTATCTATAATTCGATTATTTTTTTAACAGTGAAATACATAATTTAACAGTGAAATTCCCCATTGTTAAAAATTACTGGATACAGATTATGTAACTAAAACATGAAGAACTCTGAATTTTCACCTTGTGGACAGTAACATTCGTTACCTTTTCTTACATTCTCATTGAAATATTTCTTCTTGTGATTGAGGTAGATTTATTTTAATGTTACTATTCCATTCTTTAAAAATAATACAAAAACTTAATACTATTATTTTTTTTTCAACGTGAAAATACATGTTAAAAAGGAATGTAAAGCCTAGAGACATCAAATGGTCAAATAATATTATAATGACCCACCAGTCCCTGGTTTTCGAGGCAAAAAGCTTCACACATTCTGATTTAACATCCTTCTTTTTAAGATTCCAAATCTTTCAAAAACTTCCATAGCCACATGTTTCAACCTCAGGGCTGCAAGGAAGATGCTAATAATATGAATGTAAATGTTTAAAAAAAACATCAATATTTCTATTTATCACGCCTTGATATTTTTAATCTTTGAAAAGAACAAGGATTTAAAAATCAAACCACAATATGGAAACATTTTAGTCAAATTACTATGGTTGTCAAAGTTAACAATTATCTATATTTTATTAAAAATAGAATAATAAATGTTAACATTAAGACTTTAATATCAGTAATGAATGAATGTACAAAGACTTTCATAATGACCTATTATATTGATGAAAGATAAGAATTTTAATATTAAAAGATTTTATATATATGTTTTTGTTTTTTTTAGCTTGCTATAATGCATTGCGTAATCACTGGAATTATGGCAATAAAAGTTAAAACTATGAAGTCTTGGGAGACGACTATTACATTTTTCACTTGTGTTTGTGGATTTATTTTGGGTCTCCCCATGGCTACTGAGGTAAATGTTTCTTACTTGTTTATTATAAATAATACAAACTTTTTTAAAACTATTTTATTATGTGTAAATTATAAATTATTTCAATTCTTCAATAAAATGTTATCAAAAATTTATACTTAATGAAAATAACTGCATTGCCTGAAGTCATTAATACAATTTAGTTTTTCTGTATATTTTTCCATAATGTAACTTTATTTAGTTTAATATCCAAAAGTATTTTAATTTCTATCTCGCCTATAAATCTTAAAAGATAAAGATTGAAATTTATATGTTTAATTTGTTATATTTCAAATGGTATTTATGTCTAATATAATAATTAGCCTGGTTAAAGAATGTCATATGTTATTACACAAATCAACATTCCAAGATCATTCAGGGATGATCGGTGAACTTGGTATCAAATCTGAAAAAATAAAAAGAAATCTGCTCAAAACTCTCGTGGAAAATTCTCAATATTTTTTCTTGATTAACAAGGTTTATTCCTGAAAAAAAAAGAATAATTTATTTCTTAAAACAGTAAACCAAAAATTTAAAATATTAATCATTGTTACTACTTTCTTTCATCATCTTTTGTTTTTCTGTTTTAATGTTTCATTTGAAATTTCAGTTTCTGAATGACAATAATAAAATATCCATTTATTAATTTTTAAATAAAAAATTAGAGTAAAACTTGAATTTCAAATTTGTAAGTATCTCAATTCTCAATTGATATTAGTGAATATCTATTTTGAGATTGATTATTTGAAATCTCTGAAATTTAAAATATATAAAAAATGTTTTATCATTTGATAAAATTAGAACACATTAGTTTTCCATTAGTGTTATCCCAAAATATTGAATGTTATATAAAAAGAGACTTAAAGTATTTTTGGTATCTTATAAAAGTGTGTTTAGACATTTCATAAACTATGGGGCAAATAAATATATAAATGGTTATTTCACTATGTTAGTATTTCTGTTTCTTGTTTTTGATATTTTCCATCTGCTGTTGGTGTCAAGAGAAATAAAATAAATATTTTAGTTTAACAATAATGTCGCTGTTAGTTAAATTAGGTAATTGTGTTTCCCGTAGTTTGTGAAATGGCTAAACGCACCTTAATTTTCTTTATGGCCCAAAATAACAGAAAATAATACCAGAAGAACACATTATATAGCTGTTGGAACTATATGACTGAGATTTCTTCTTCCAGTTTTCTGATGATTTAGGCTTGTGCTAAAATAAATTTTTAATTAATGAAGAATCTATAATTATCATTGTGCTATCATTAAAATAATTATGTTTCTTTGCAGTTGGGAATATTTGTCGTTTACTTCCTGGATTACACTGTTGGAGGTGGTTGGTGGATCATGCTCCTCTACCTGATAGAATTGATTGCAGTGTTTATGGTTAGAGGGAGACCTTATTCTGGTAAGTTCTTTACTGCACTATTAATTATAAAAAAAACAATAAGGTACTGATAAAATGGTCCTACTATTTACTTTCACTTACCTCTGTTTGAAATATATAGTAAAGGAAAGTATTGTGATCATGAAAATTTTCAACAGAAATACATATTTTGAGGTTCCCTGAGTCCCAGAAAATGGTCTGTATGTGTATGTGTGTATTAACAGTCTAGGTCAAAAAATAAAGGTGTAGGAAAGTGAAATTTCACAGTGAATTTCATATTTAAGGTTTGTATATGCCTGTTATTGCAACTTTTTCGTAAAAATCTGCTAACTGGAAGTGAGACTTCATATCATTGAGTTAACACCTTTTTAAGATTTTCTTAAAAAAAAGTGCTACGATTTTGATTAAATTCATTATATCAGTGTAAAATTAAGCAGTTTTTTTATTCAATGTAGGTTTTATTCTCATTGATGTTCTCTAACAGGCCTTAAATGGCTGATTTTCAATATTTCTTCCTCTAAAGTATCTTTCATTTTTTTATTTGAAGTAATTAAACATTTCACAATTAACTTTGATATAAAAAATAGTTAAATACAAAATATGGAAGAATTGATAATTAACTAAAGAAAAAATAAGAGATTGTATCGAAGAATAGTTGTAATAGATGAAGCAAACGAATACGAGTAAGCCCAAGTTCTCCCGAGCTATAATATATAATACGGACTCTGACAATATTGTATACATAAAAATATCTGGTTTTCATAAATGATGTCATTTGTATTATTTAATTTTTAATTTTATAGATTATAGCAATATAAAAATTAAAATTTGTATATATACATGTACTTAAACTAATAAAAATACCAAAAATTAAATATAAATAAATATAGTGGCACTCTTGTCAGACTAAATATATTTTGTGGCATTTAATTATTTATTGTAATTAATAATATATAGAATTAAATTATTTAAATGTACATTTATGAATGGAAATAGCTAGTGTCAAACAAAATAAATGTAATACATTAGACAGCTATGAAAAACATATTTAAATAATGTTTCATACACTCTGTAATTTTTACTTTCACTTCCCTTTGTCTGAAAATACTTATTTCTGCTAAGAAAAGGGTGGTAAGTGAAAGTTGTGTGATGCACGCATCAAACCAGATTTTTTTATTTTAGGATTGAATAAAGTATTAAACAGTAATGATTTTTTATAGATTTATTTATGGTAAATACATAATACATTATACATTTGCTGTTGATTTGGAAGCTTGGTTATACCTTCTTCATAAAATATGAGAGGGTTATCAACCAACAGCTTATGTGCTCCTCGACTTCTTCATTGCTTGCAAATCATTCTATTTCTAAATGATCCTTTCTAGAGAATGAATAAAAAATTTAAATTACATTTCAAACGGGACAAGCCTGGAATATAAGTGAGATTTTCAAGTTTTTCCCAGTCTATTTATTCATAGTGAAAATTGTGGTGTGAGACCTTGCCTTATATACATAATTTAGCATGTATGGTTTAACCATATTCTAAGAAAAGTATAAAAAAGATTATATAAAATGGTACTTAATCTGGTCCATTTTTAAGACAACGTTGCTGTAACATCTGTCCCATTTACCTACCTGACAATTTTTGAAACTTGATTACATATTTATCTGAAAACCATAAAAAATGTATTTCTATTGAAAATATTTAATTACTCCAATATTTTTTTTTCATATTTTTAAATGTCCATAATTATTAAATTAAATAATTGAAATACTTCAAAACTTTAAATTTTTTAAGCCTTTTCTATCATTAATCTTATGTTAAATCTTAAAATTAATTGTAATGATATCTTGTTCTGCAAATCATGCCTTCTTGTTCTTAGGTGAAACTGTAGTAGCTACATTATTCGCTCATGCTGGGCGTTTTCTTCAAGAATGGGCAGCTCCTATTTTGTCATTTGTTTGGAATGTTGTTTTACCAGTAATGCTGATGGTAAGTTTATATTAAAAAAAATAATAAATAGTAATTAGTTACATAACCATAGTACTATTAAAATATTGAGACAGAAGTTAATAATAATTTAATAAATTATATATTTTATTTATTTTAAAAGTTAATAAATAATTCTCACAGGAATCTGAAAAAAAGATGGCCAATGCGTAGTTTCTCTTCATGTTGTACATGTTATGTTACTTGTATTTATCATTTAATATAGTTGTAAATGTCAATAATAATAAAAAACAAACTAAAACATAACAGTATTTTTGTGTTACATAAAAAAGCTGTCCCTCTACTAAAACATAGGAAGTAAATTTAACTGTCCTGCTTGCAGTATATAAATATTAATCTGTTCGTCATAAATGGGTACCATCCTTGAATTATTTATCTTAAAACCACATGCTACTTTATAAGATACTAGCTTTACCCGGCCACTGTGGCTTAGCCTGGCAGAAAGAAAAAGAAAGAAAATAGAAAGCACATATGAGTAGATTAGTAGATAAGGACATCTGTCATTTTTAAAAAGTTGGGAAACAAATTTGTCTGTAAAATGGCTTCAATTTAAACTAATTCTAATGTTTTTTTTTCTCATGATTCAAATTGAACATTCATAATCATCTGAGTGAATACGCCATCATTCATAATCATCAGAAACAGTCTTAGTTGAACTTATAAAACTAAATTAAAAAATTAATAAAAAAACGTATAATAGTATTGACCTACATAAGGAGAAACATATAACTTCTTCAAATGATAATTTCAATTACTGTAGTAATTATAAAATTTTCAATTAATCAATAAAAAAAAAATGCTTGCCGACGTTCGGTAGTGAGGAAGCAAAAGGAAACGGCCTTTTCTGAAGAGAAAGCAGTAAATGTTTAAAACTCAATAACTCTGCAACGAACCGTCCGATTTCGATGATTTTTTTTTTTTATTTTGTCAGCGATTCAGAAATCTTTCGTATAAATATGGGTATTATCAGTTAAAAATTGTGTACTTTTTTAGTTATCGTCAAATAAAATATTGAATTCATCGTAACATTTTTCAGCTTGTTTTCGGGAAAGTATGTTATACAAATAAATTAAAAGGGTTTCAAGGGGAAGACTTTAGCCAAGTTTCGTTAAAATCGGTAAAGCCGTTTTGGCGCTACAGTTTATAGCGACACATTTTTTGCGACTTTGAACAGAAAAACATTTACATTTTTATTTTTTTTACATATATAAAATTATCGTAAGACAGAAGTACTATGCCAGAAACCTTCCCAGGAGTGTACGGAACAACTTCCCAAAGTTTCATGGCGATCGGTTGAATGGTTTAGTAATGCACTAAGGACAAACAGACGGACAGACAGACATACATTCATTTTTATACATATAGATTTATATTTTTTATTATTTATTTATTATTTTTATTATATATTTAAATATATATCATATTTTTATTTACATTATATAAAATGCAATATTAATGTTTATTATTATTCTATACTTTCTTGTAGGTGTTGTGTATATCTGTATTCAAGAATGGCAACTATAGAGAAATGTTACGGTTAGGAGGGATGCTGAATTACGACTACTGGCCTGCGTGGAGTCGTCATGTCGGGGCATTGATACAGCTTATACCTCTGTTGGCCGTCCCATTCATCGGAATTGTGCAGAGCTGTCGTTACTTATCTAGTGGACCTCCAGATGTTTTCGATGTTAGTATCAAATTAGCGTTACAAAAAAATATTTAAAAAAAAGAAATTAATTTAAACTATTGGGTTGCCAAATAAGTCCTTTTGGTTTTTCAGGGTGAAATAAAACTCAATCTATTATAGACATGAAATTTATTTTACTTTAAAATATATTGACCATTGTTAAATATGACTTTTTTCCCATATTTTCACTAACTGCATAGTTCCATGTTCATAGAATGTCTGGAGTTTATTATTAAAAAAACTGATCCAAATAATTTTTGATGTCCTCTTCCTTTTGGAGTGTTTTCCCATTCATGGAGTTCTGCAGAGACTGGAATAAGTGGTAGTCACTTGGAGCTAGGTCTGTTGAATAGGGAGGGTGGGTAAAAGGTCCCATCTAAGGCTCAATAATTTATTGCGAATGATCAATGAGGTGTAGGGCCTAGCATTGTGTGTTGGAACACAATACCCTTCCGATCATTCATAACTCTTCAGGATGTTCTCCAAATTCGATGTTACTATATCCATTGGAAAGCTAAATTATTGCTCTACAAAGGCTTATGAATGGTTTTTTGATTAATGCTTACATAAGGAATAAATAAACAAAAACTCTTTATATTTTTATCTCGATTTATAGTTTGTTTACGAAGGCCATGTTGATGTCATTTTGTGTAGTTTATGTGGCTCTCAAGTTCTTGTAGATAGCTAAAGTCCTATTGAGGTTATAACATTTTTTGTGATTTTTGAAAAAAATCGTGTGAGGGACCCAAACATTAAACCTGGAAACATAGCCGAGCTTGTGCAAATAGTTTTCTACGCTTGTGTGCAACACATTTAGTACCATATCAATCTCTCGGACTGATTGGGTGGGATTTTGATCAACAATGGTCTTAACATTGCTCGTTTCAATTCCATGTGGGCGACCAGACCGTTGAGCATCATTGATGTCAAAATTTCCTGAATGCACTTTGGCCAACCAATTTTGACAGTAGCATTCAGTTAAGGCATCAACCCCATAAAAACTGCAAAATTCTCTATGACCTTCTGCAGCTCGTTTACCTTTTTTAAAATAATACAACAAAATATGCCGATAATGAATGATATTTTTTTTCCATTTTCTCAGAACAAGAGCAAACACAATACTAAGCTAGTTTCAACAAGAGTTAACAGATATAGGTGTTGACATATTACAAACAGGATAAACAATCCACCTTAGGGATTATTTCATCAGATAGGAATATCATAGTGACATAAAAATAAACAGAAAACTGAAAGGATTTATTTGCCAAACTGATATATACTATAGGTGGCCTATTAATTCAGAATAGGATTATTATATGTAAGGATTGACAAAATTTGGAAACAATGTTATTAAGTATATCTAAACTATGCAAGTTATGTGAAAACTAAAGTTTATGTGAATGTAAAAATTATATACCGTCGATTTATTGCAAAAATTTATAGAGTGGCATTCATAAACTTAACTAATTAAGAACATTAAACAACTTTTTCTTTATAAAATCAGAAAATTGTGCACTTGTTATTATATTTGATGTATAAAAGGGTTTGTTTCATTTTCATGCCTTTACAGTGTTTTTATATAAAAAAATAAAGTAGAAATTCATAAAAACATTTTTAAAATTTAACTTTTATCAAAAATGCACTTAGTGAATTTTTGCAATAAACCAACGATATATATTACCAAAAGAGAAGGATGGTTGAGATGATCAGTCAAAATAAAAATAGTAAAAATAAATAATTATATTTATTTTTATATTTGACGACGTTTCGGCCCAAAGTTCAGGGCTAAGAAAAGAACTAGATAACAATAGTTATGATAAACTATAAACATTGAATAATAAAGAATTATAAATTAAAAAGGTGATAGGTAAAGAATAAAAAACTTAAAATAAAATGAAGTAGATGAAGTGAACATTAAAATAAAATAAAGTAGGTAGAATAATAACAGTAACAGAGAACTAAGAAATGAATATAATAATATCGCCAACAAAGTACAGACTAATGTAATAAACATAATCAAAATAAGGTAACATAAGAAATGAAAAATGGTAATCTTTGAGTAAAATGTAAAACAGAGAAAAGGAATATGAAGTTATTTAAGGAAATAATTGATATAAATAGAAAAATGAGATATTGTAAAATCTATAAAAAAATACTGACTATATAAGAGAATAAAGAGTTAAAATAATTTAAAAAAGATTAATGATAATGATACATTTGCTCATCTATTATTTCCTTATATAACTTCATATTCCTTTTCTCCCTTTTCATTTTATTTTAAGAGCACCATTTTAAGAAATTATAGATATAAATAGAAAATTGAGATATTTTAAAATATATCAAAAAATACTGACTGCGTATAAGAGAATAAAGAGTTAAAATAATGCAAAAAAGAATAATGAGCAAATTTTTTTTGCATTATTTAAACTTTTTATTCTCTTATACATAGTCAGTATTTTTTGATAGATTTAACAATATCTCTATTTTCTATTCATATATACTATTTCCTTATATAACTTCTATTTATTTTCTCTGTTTTACATTTTATTCTAAAATCAATATTTTTCATTTCTTATGTTACCTTATTTTGATTATGTTTATTTCATTAGTCTATGCTTTGTTGCCGTTATTATTATTTATTTCTTAGTTCTCTGTTATTGTTATTATTCTACCTCCTTCATTTTATTTTAATGTTCACTCTATCTACTTCATTTTACTTCAAGTTTTTTCTACCTACATTTTTTAGTCCATACCTTTCACCCTTTTAATTTTAATTCTTTATTATTCAATATGTATAGTTTCTCATACCTATTGTTGACTGGTTCTTTTCTTAGCCCTGATGAAGGTCTCAATTTCGGCCGAAACGTCGGCAAATATAAAAATAAATATAATTATTTATTTTTACTATTTTTATATTGACTGATCACCTCAACCATCTTCTTCAATTATTCACTACAGTCAAACATCAACCCACAAATATATATTACTTTTTATTTTTTATACATATAAACTTTTTCATCAAACCATACCATAATAATGTAAATAAAGTATTTCCATATTACAATACATAAAAATTGTTTCTCCTCCTAAATTTTTTTAAATTGATAAATCAGTTATAAGATCCATCTTTACACTTCCCGTTCTATTTCTACTATATCAATAAATTATTTTCATTTGTTTTCTTTTTATAACATTGCTTATTAAGATATTTTTATTACAGCGTATACAGTTACTGTATCGACCTTCTGAAGAAGCCATGTCTCCTAGTAATAGCGATTCTATAGATCCAGCTAACGCTGATCCTGAAACAGGAAATTCGAATACTACAACTCCACAAAACAATGCCGTTGAAGATCCTCCACCAAAATACACACCGCCACCCTCATATTCAACTGCCACAGGGGCCAGGTAACAATAATAATTTTATTACACTAGGCTTCAGAGAATTAGTTCATTACTTAATACTTTAAGGGAATCCTTACAGTATTTTAGGTACCATCTTCAAGCAGGTATCTACCTAGGTACCTCTGTATCAGGTGCTTCCCTAACCTCTATCCTTTCCTCCACCACTACCAATCTCCCCCCACTCCTTATCTGATTTTAGCTGCTTAAAAGTTCTCTTTAAATGGTTTTAACATGAGCAACCTCTATTTTTATTTAAAGTAAATTTTGTCTAGTTTACAGTGAAGCAATTGTTAATTACTTAAATTAAATATTTTTTTGTTATCACTTCCTATTCAAAAAAAATCGTGGCTTATATGAAAAATCACAAAACTGTAATTCCCTACTTTTATGCTGAAAATCGAACCATTGTTTATATAAACTTTGTGTATTAATTGAGTTTTGCTATCACTCCTTTAAATATTTCCCTCTACTTACGAGACACCATGTACATGGGTTCAGACATGTAAAAAACTAAATTCTGACACGAGTCATCAAGATAAAACTTTTTACAGCCAAAAAATCCTGATTTATTTGATCACGGCAGCCCAAAAACTACATCACTCTTTTCTTTTAATAGCTGCTTTTTGGAACTGTTTTGGAATTTTTTGTCAACTGTCCATGGAAGGGTGCCCCCCCTAGCAGAATTCGCTAATACTGGTCACGATAATAATTTTTTTTTTATATTACATTAGGAAATTCATGTATGAGGATGAGTTTTCCCTACATACTATTGTTTTTCCATCTTTCAAATTTTGTATATTTATATTTACGTCAGTAATATTAAATACTTTTTATCTGAATCGGGGAGTGGGGTGGCTCAGTGGTAAGGCACTGGCTTCCAGACTCAAGGTCCTGAGTTCGAATCAGGCTGATGACAAGTAAATTTTTCATCAATGGTGGATCGACACTGAGATCGGGAGACTCTCCTGGGGCACACCCAGCCTCTATAAAGTGGTTACCCTTAATTAAATAATTTTTACTCCTTAAATAGCCAGTCGGGTCCAACTGCTATCTGCCAATGTTTATAACCTTAACACTGGTAATTCTGATAAGGCACTGATAATTTCTATCTTTGTATTCATATTTATTGTATTATATTCATATTATTGAAATTTTTAACAAAAACAAATGAAATAATAAAAATATATATATTAAATAGACGGCATATTTAATTCCTATATATATTAAATAGACGAAAAGAGATGTAATAATAACCAAACAGTTTGATTAAATACTTTTATTTTACTACATATATATTAAATAGACAATAACAAAACAATTATCCCGGCATCTTGAAAATATTTAATAGCCTCTTCTTCTGAAGACGGCAATTCCTACAATGTAATATAATTTGACACTTCCATAATTTGACAAAAATCACACTAATGGAACAAAAATGAACGATGGAATAACTCGAATAGAAGGAGGTTATGTGATGTAACATTAGATAACAAGGAAGGTTTCGTCCGGACCGGCTATTAAGGAGTACCAAATAATAAATTGAGGAGAAAAACCTGGTGGTTGAGCATGATCATGGCCTGACCACCTCCCATGTTGATCTTGTAACAGCACTTCCTTATGAGGAACTGAATCCAAAACCCTTCAAAGGTTGTAGTGTTATAGTTTTTTTTTTAATAGTTTCATCTTTTGTATCTTTATTTTTAGCCATTATGAGAATGTACAATATGGTTTAAAATTATGTCATCGAATACACCTACACTTGTTTCTTTTGCACACTTGATTTTATAATTTCTTCAATTTTATATTTTTAGTTTTATCTTAAAAACAAAGCTACTCTAGTTCATTATAGTTACTTGAAATATCAAACATAAAAGGAAAAAAAAATACATTTAGTTTAATTTTAAACAAAATTTTAATTTTATTGATGTAATAACTAAGACATAATTTTAAAAATATTACTATACTTTACTTCAATCAATCTTGCCTTCTTATTGAAACAATTATAAAATCATCAATATTACTGATTTAAAATCACCAGTTCAATATTTATTGTTACAATATATTTCATATATAATTGAAAGTGAAAATAATTAATTATTTTTTCAGGATTGCAAAGCTGATGCGCCAAAGTTTCCGCCGCAGTGTTAGGCGTATTCAGACTGCATTTGCTGGAGGAGGAGGAGGAGGAGGAGGAAGCGGAGGAGGTAGTGGATCAGGAGTTGGGGAAGGATCGAGTGCAGAACCGCCACCGCCTGATTACGATACCGTACTTGTCGAGATACACCAGTCCTTGTCGTCCGACGCAGGACCAACAACGTCATCGACATTGGCGACCGTCAGTGAGGTAGCCTCACGCCTGAGGTCCAGCTTCCGCCGTGCCATGAGTAGCCAGTCACAGCAGTGTCTTGTCCCCTCGGCGTCTCCCATTCACAGGGACTCGATAATTTTAGAAGACAAAAGGGTGGACTGACATTAACTTGGAAGGGATCCTAATATTTTTTTTATTTCTTTTTCATTTTGTTTGTTTAGTATCTTGGTAACATGTTTTTATAAGACATTAATGAATCATCAAACTTAAAATATTAATTTAAAAAAAAAAAGATATTTTATTATACAGTCAAACCTCTACATATTGAACAAAAAGGTTGCCTGAAAAAAAAATTTATCAGTCCTACTCAATAACACAGTAGGAAAAAAATAATACAATAAAAGATTAAAAATCTTTATATACAACTTTAATAAATGGATATTCACTTCAAAACATAGAACATTTATGTATAAAAGTCAATTTTTATAATTTAAGAAACTCAATTATTTTTGTTTTATTTGACTTAAGAAGGAAATTATTGACTGGTTCTTCTCTTAGATATTGTAATAAAAGTATCTGTTGCCATGACGTTCTCTGAATACAATTTATTCAAGACGCTCTATTTTTATTCTTTACAGTAATTTTATTTATATAAAATTTTATAAAAGTAACCACTGGAAAGAATATTTGTGTACACATGGGCAAAGAAAATTCCTGCATATACGTCAGGCATTCAGCCTCTTTCATTAAAATTTTGTCTCTGGTTCCTTTTTAAATTATTGGAATCCTTGATTAGTTCTGATTGTTGAAATCATACTGCATTTAAAAATTTCAATATAAAAAAAAATTGCAATTTTTTTATACTAAAAACAATAATGATTATTTATTAAGAATAAAAAAGTATCAAAGCAAATTTTTCAGGGTTTTAGATTTCCATATCATTTCATCGATTTTAGCAAAATTTTAAGAATTAAATTGTTTCAAAATTAAATAACAAATTCATGTTTTTCTAACTTTTTATGCCTTTATTAAATTATTATTTTTTGTATCGTGCTTATGGATTCTTATATAGGGAGTGGGGTATCTCAGTGGGTGGGTACTGACTTCCAAAGCTCAAGGTCCGAGATTCGAGTCTGGCTGATGAATAGTAATTTTTCATCAGCCGTGGATCGATCCTGGGGCCAGGAGACCCTCCTGGGGCACACCCAGCCTCTATAAAGTGGGTAATTTTAATTAAAAATAATTAATTAAGGGAGAAAACCTGGCGCTTGAAAGTGATCTCAGCCCAATCACCTCCCTGAACAACTATTGGTCTTGTAACAGTACTCTCTCACATTGTACTGAACCCAAGACCTGTAATTTATTTTTTTCTTGAACAGTCTTCCTCGAATTTCCATTGCATTTTTAAACATTTTTTTTGTTATATAATTATAAACGAACATTGTGAATGTACACTATGGGCACTTTTTGATGATTATATTTTTTTATTTGTTAAAATGTGACTTTTTCTCCAATATATAGAATATTTTTTGATATGAAAAAAAGTTTGATATATAAAGATGTTCGATATACAGAGGTTCGACTGTAATCACATGGAATATTTGGGCCAATTAAGATAAATGAAAAATATTGAAGTAACATTCAAATTAGTAAATGAAACTTAATTAGTTTATAACTATTGTTGAAATTATTCAAATATCTGGTTTATTGCAAAAAGTTATTAAGTAAAACACTAGAAAATTACATCACTAAGACATTTGATGAATTTTCCCTCTATGAAATCAAAACATTGTGCACTTAATGTTACTGTTTTTGATATTAATAGAAATTGTGTTATTTTTATGCACCTGGTGAGTTTTTGCATTAATAAATATGATCAAAATTCACAAATTTGTACTTGAATGTTTAGCTTGATCACAAGTCTACTTAGTAACTTTTTGTAATAAACTGAGCATATGTTTATCATTTTATTCATCTAATTGACCTTTGAGAAATTAATTGATGGTTTAAGAAATTTGTTATAAGTGAGCTTATATTTTTCTTACATTTAGTATTTTAAATATATGTATTTTTAATATTTATAAAAAAATAAAAATACTCCCATAAAACATGTTAACAAGGAAACCAAAAAAATTAGTAGGATGGATCCCTTTTAAATATATATATTGTGAATTACTTTGATTTTAATCTAAAAACTTCTGTGATAGAGATCAAATGTGTAATCACGCTGTATTAGAATTAAATTGTAAATAATTTTTATACCCATAAGTTAACTATTATTTTAATTTCTATGACTTCCGTTATGAATTATGTATATATATCTGTCATAGTTAAGAATAATCTTCTTGCTTCCTAAAAACAAAAAATAATAAAGTTTATTTCTCTTGTTTAACATGCTGACTGAAAGTTTTCATGATTTTTGATGTATGTATAAATAATTGTATGACCAGTAAAATGGTTTCATAAAACTAGTCGAAGAATGATTACACTATAATTTAAGGTTTTTTTATATATATAGTTGGTAGTCAATCCAATCTAGTAAGTAAGTTTAAGTTATTTTAGATTGCAATAAATAGATGTACAAATGTGTATGTCTTTGTATATTTATTATTTGTTTGTGTTTTTCATACCTGCTGTGTCTTGAATACCATTCTGTTTCATACTTTTTATTTTTTACATTAAAAAAAAAAAAGAATTACAAAATATTTGTCATGAATAAAAAGTATTGATTAAATCTGTATTTATTTTATCGAACCTCTGTGGATTCTTTTTTTTATCATATTGAAATTTAAAAAATATTTTTTATACTAGCCAACAGCAAAAGAGTTGGAAGACCTTGGGCAAGGTGGCTTGATGGAGTGTCTTTGGACGCAAGAGACCTTCTACAAATCTGGAACTGGTCAGCTGCATCTCTGGCTGTGCCAACTGGCCAAGGCTTTTAGAGATAGCTCACACCCAGTGATGGATTGTTGTGCCAGATATGATGGTGGCGATTTAAATTTAAATTTGTTTATTATTGCACAAAACTTAATGTCTACATGTTATTTCTAGTTCTGGATGTTATAATTTTGTATATATTGAAAACCAATGGCGATATTGCTGGTGATATCGATATAGAAGGTAATATGTTTGAACAGGTAGAGAAGTATCTAGGATCTACAAAAAAACGAAATTGAAGAGGAAATTAAGGTTAGGCTGAAGGCGGGAAATGCTTGTTATTTGTCTGTGACAAAACTACTTAGCTTGCGCATCTTCTCTCGTAATTTAAAGATTAGAATCTATAAAACCATTATCTTACCTACAGTTTTTTATGGATGTGAAACGTGGCCACTTACATTAAGGGATGAGCAACATCTTAAGGTTTTTGAAAATGAAGTATTACGTACAATATTCGGACCGAAGAAGGATGAGATAACCGGAGAGTTCAGAAGGTTGCTCATCGCCGGGTCGCGTGAACTGTATCCAGTTAATATAATTGATGTGATTACAATCGCGGCAATCAAACAGGTTAGTAAAATTGTTGGGTTTAGTAACGAAAGAATTCTTAAAAGGTTGATACTTGCTGTACTGAATGCTAAACGTGTGAGAGGTAGACCAAAGCGAAGGTAGGAAGATTGCGTTAAACCTGATCTGAAGGGACTGGTTTTGGACAGCGAACGGTGGAGGGACATGTGTAATAAGAGATTGGTGGTGTAGGCATCGAACCTCCGGGTTGGCTAAGCCTTTTATTATTATTTATTATTTATTATAATATATTGAAAACCATGCGTAAATAAAGCAGGAGCTAAGAAAAATTTGTCTCGATCTTTTTTTATTTATTTTTTTCTACCCCTTGAACTATTAAAATTAGTTATTTTCAGCTCAAAAGAAAAGAAAAGTTTGTTGGCTAGTGTAATCAGGACTCAGTTAATAATTTTTGAAGAGAAGTTGATTGGAGTGTTGAGTCAAAAATTCAATGTAAAAATAAATAAATGATTTTTATTTTTGCCGACGTTTCAGCCCAAAGTTCAGACTTTCATCAGGGCTAAGAAAACCAGATAATAATAGGTATGAGAAACTAATAATATTAAAAAGAAAATAATAATAAGTAGAATATAATAAAACATATTATTATTTTTATATAATATGAAAATAATAATATAATTATACATATTTTTATTTTATTTTTAATGTTAATAGTTTCTGATACCTATTGTTATCTGTTCTTTACTTATCCGTGACGAAGGCCTGAACTTTGGGCCGAAACATTGGCAAAAGTAATCATTTATTTATTTTTACTTTGAATTTTAGACTCGACACAACCAACTTTTCTTGAATTTTCACTAGAGTCAACCATCTATCTACTATTGTTTATAATTTTTATTCTATAGGCCAAGTTTTGATGCAGTATCTTTAGACATGAAAATGAAATTTGATATCTTAGAATAAAAGGTAATGAGTGTGACTAACAAATATTACCTACTCTTTACTGTCTTATTAAAAAAAATTGTTATATCTATCCATCACTCTTCTCCTTCTGTATTAAACAGACTCCTAGAAACTTAAGCAGTTTAAACTTGGTTAGTATTTTTAGGTATGCTAAACGTGGGCCAGTTGTTCCAACTCAGTAAAGTTTAGATTAAGCGTTATCTAAGATTAAACCAAGTTTAATTTCGATGGTTGAGCTTAGAAAACTTGGTTTAATCTCAGATAACGCTTATTCTAAGCAACTAACCCTAAATGCTATGGTTGATTATATCTATCCATATATATATATATATATATATATATTTTTTTTTTTTTGTTCTTTTGTTTCTTTCATACTGTAGTGACATTCATTGTTGTTTAGTTGATAGATTGCTTTGAGCTGCAAGGCTCCAACCATCTTAACTGGTCCTGTACGCAGGACTTTCATGTCAGTCTTTCTTCAATATTATTTCATTGATTTTAGCAAACTTTTAAAAATTAAATTGTTTCAAGTTTCAATAACAAAATCACAGTTTTAAAGCTTGTTATGTCTTTTATTAAATCAATAATGTTTTTCATGTTTATGGGTTCTCATTTTGCAATGAAGTTCACATCAATAATGACAAAAATAATTTAAAATAAAAATTGTATTCTATTATGAATGAGATCTTGCTCCTATGGATGCCATAATTTAATTTTTTCTTTAACAGTGTTCT